AATACTGACACACAATCACTTTCCAGTGGAGAAGATAAACCACATTTCAGAACTCATTGCAATTGTATAATTATATTGCCAATGGACAATTACATAAATTTATTTAACAGAAATTGGGAGGTGTTCCACCAAAGTGCATACAGATTTTCAACTCAAATCCTATTGACAATATATTTAGAAAACCAGAGGATTAAACTTTGACATAGAACATAATTAAATAAAATCTGTCTGTTACCCAGATCTAGTAAACTTGCAATATTTTTACTTCCTTTTTGTTGTCCGAGACCTTTGTTATATGGCCTTGGTTTTCCTATATTCTCCCTTGAACTGGATTCAAACCCTGTGAAGGAATCAGTTGTTTTCATGTCTCCCATACTATTCCACCTTGCTTTAAAATGGTGTAGAAAAATTTGGAAGAGAGGTAGGGTGTTTCCACCTGCATACACTGTGGTGTACCTGAGCTTGAGCACTATTAGGGTTATTTCCTGAACAGAGCCTTTCCATCGTGTGAATGGAGCTGTGTTTGTGTGTGCAATTACAGCACAGCAGCACTGCCTGTGAGTGCAAGATAGGATGATGTTCTCTCCCACTCAAATTTCCTTTTGAGGCTCCTACAGGCCTATGTTTAGAGCTACAGAAGAGTGAGCACAGTTCTAATCACATTCACTTAATCTCCTAAACAAAATAGTGGTGGCTCCTATACATGGTTGTATTTTTCAGTTCACATTCTGATTTATACTGGTTAGGAGAATTTTACATATAGCATAGTAACTAAAACTGTTTTAGATTTTGCTAGTGTTATTCTGGAATTCATTTGGATAGCCACAGTATTTTCTCACACCCAATATGTATGTGCAGATGATATTTTAAAATTATGACTGTCCAGTTTATTTCAAGACTAGATTTAACAGGACGCAAGGACTATTCCAAAACAATGTCTCAAGTAACCTTAAAGTCTGCACTGACATAATACAACTGTGACAGTTTTTATAGGCTGAAGACAGCCAGGAAGGTATGAGGTCCTGTCCTACATTATCTCAAAAGTCATCTGCATCCAGATACCCTATTTTTGAAGTCCTGGTTTATTAGTCACTTACACCTTCCAGTTACCAAGGGTCAAAAGTTAAATATAATGTGTGTGATGAACTAAAGTGTTAGACTAAACTGGGTTGTAGAGGAGCATAAATGGGGAATGAAAAAGGACAAAACTTCTGAGGAATTTGTTTGCTTTTTAATTGAAATGTGTGAAATGGGGGAAATCCTAAGTCAAACATTTAAATTTCTATAGTTGTGAATAACTATATATGCTGAAACTTCTCACTTTCTCCAGTTTCTTTGTCCCAGAGAAATCAAACTGCATTAAAATTCAGGCACTGATGGTAGAAAGTTGATAAAGGGTTTAGTAAATGTGTCCCAGAATTCTTTTTCTCTTCATTGAAGAAATGAACTAGATGGTACCACAAAGATGTTGGGGCCTATAAAGAATATTATGTTCCTCTATGCTTGCCTGTGATGATGCAGTCTTAGGGAATAAAAAGATGGAAACACATTTGGTTATGTCATCCCTTTGCTGTAACAACATGACATACAACTGGGGACTGAGTGGATAATGCACGGAGTGCAAATTGTCATTCAAAGAGGTCCCATATGTTAGAACTGATGCTAATCATTGCATTAGATATTTTTTCAAAGTACCAACTACTGAACACATTAAAGGAAAAACATGAGAAAGGATAGATAAGGACAGAATTAAAAATTGTGTAGGTAGCACATGGAAAAAATGTCACAAGTGGGAATTTCAGGAAGGTTCTCTTCTACTTGACTGACTGACTATACATGTACAGTGTTGTTGTTGTTGTTGTTATTTGCCATCGAGTCAGCCCCAACTCATAGCGACCCCTCCTTGGGTTTCCAAGGCAGTATCACTACGGAAGTAGGAATGCCCAACCTTCCTTCCGAGGAGTGGCTGGTGGGTTTGAACCACCAGCCTTCTGGTTAGCAGTCAAATGCCTTAGGGACTATGCTACCAGAGCTCCTATACATGTACAGTAGCCAACATATATTTAAAAATCATATTTCTTTTGACCATATATGATTGAGGTTCAGGAACTTCTGGTTCTCAAAGTCGTGAGAAACAAATGAGGCAGGACACTGTTTTTAATGTCTACTTACAAGGTTTGGTTTTATTTAAAAAGTTTATAAACATGCATTTTTTTTTTCCTTCTTAATTTTTCTTTTCATTTTACTCATTCAAAATGGGTCAAAGGTATTTTAATTGGTCGCCAATTTCTGAGAATGTACCATAAAATATTTATTCCAATAAATCTACTTAGTGTGAACTGAACATACTCTGAGCACTGCTTTTTAAGCACTTACAATTTGGCTGTACATTTGGTGGCATAAACTTTACTTCTTCATGAAATAAAACACAAAATTGTAAATAGACTGCATTGTTTTTTAAAAGTCAAGATTTTAAGTGATGCAGCTCTATCCTCTAGTGTGTACTGTACATGTATTAGAAAGATGAAACACGATTTAGCAATAGTTTTATATTCAGAAGCAGCCTGAGTATGTCTTCATAACAAATTGTCTCTTTAACTATTTGCTAGCTATTGTAGAGTTCATTTTGTTTGTTACCTTGGGAAAAGTCATACGGTATTCTGACTTAGAGAGATTAATTATGGTTATTCAGAAAATTCTTTTTTTTTTTTTAAGAAAACTGTAATATAAACACAGCTTTTAAAAAACACCTCAATTCCTTTTGTTCATTTTAATTCTCGGATGGGTCAATTACAATTACAGGTAAAGTTACTCTTTTCTTTCCTTTCTTTTTCTCTTTTAATCCAGTTTACTACATCATTGTTACCTGTATATTTTGGTGCATATTCAGTTTTAAGACTTAAACTGCCTTCTTTTGACCCCTGCCTTTTTCCATAGTAAAAGCCACCTTTCTGCTTTGTTATTGACTCAGCCTCTGATGTTCCGAGACTTTTGTCAATGCCACTGTTCCTTTGCATCTTCCTATTTCTACACCCCAACTGAAAACCATCTAACATGATTGGTTACATCCAGCATCACCCAACCTAGCTTACAGTACAGAAACTCCCTTCACATTCAGTCTTTTTCTTCATGTCACGAGGAGTAGAGATTTGTGCTTATCACCAAATAAAATTGCAGTGCAAAATTTAAACATAAAAGTTACACAATTAAAAGTTAATATATGGCACCACAGCCTATTAATTCACATATAGTACAACAGACCAAGAAGAACGGACAATAATATGAACAGAGCTAAAAAGAGTGAGCTTGCATAGCAATGCACAAAAGAAATTATATACAGAGGAAAATCCTTTTCTTCATGGAGGGAGATTTTTGCTTTCTTTCTTTTTTATATACTCCTGACAAGAAAGAGTTAAGGTGGGTGGTGTACTTAAGAGAAGAACACAAGTAAAATATCTGTAGGATATGTGTGGCTGTGTGTCTTTACATTGCATTTATAGTTCTTTTAATAGTACATAAATAAAGAAATTGTTCATTGCACTGTTTAGTGTCATCACTTCCATGAGTTCAGACCTGATGGTCCTTCAGAGCAGCTTTGCATGTCTCCTCTCAGTTACTCTACAAAGAGATTAAAAATAATAATCGTAAAGTCAGCAGTAAGTTTGCATTTCAATTAAATATTCTTTCATCTTGACCAGTATAACAAAAAACAAGATCACCAGAGAATACATAAAGACCTGGTCACCAAATCAATTTTTTGAATCTGTGACTTTTACTAGAATAAGGATGGAAAAGGAAATTTTACTTGAATAGAGATAGGAACGGAAAGAAAAAGAAACACTTTAAATTGGGAGATTTAAAAGCCAAGTAAAGCAAGTTTGAATCTTCTTGTGAGTCTATAATTATTTCAAAATAAAAATGTAAAGAAAACTCCAAATAGCCATGAATCAAATTCAAACTGACAAGCATATTTTAATAATTATCAGACTGGCAATAGACTGCAAAAATGATAACTTTGATCAAAAAAGAATTTAACAATTTTGAAAGTACTTTCACTTTTCATTATCTTAAGAGATAATCCCAAACAAGTTTGTGCTGTGAATAGGAGTACTGCTAGAATGCAGGTAAGGAAATGGAGACCTTAGAAGGTAGTTAACTTCCTCGTGTTCCATAAACACAAAGCACTTGAGAGGATTAGAAACCAGAACAAATCTCTGAGCAGTGTTTTTAAATTGAATTCAAAGAAGCAGGTGAAAATATTCAGCAAGTAAAATTCTGGCATTGGGTAGCAGAACTGGTAACACTTCTGATGAAATGAACAAGAGTGTGACATTCCCTTTTTTCTAGAACCAACAACAATAGTATTTGATATTTAGAAAATGCTGTAGATTTGTTGAATTAACTACAAATGCTAGTTCTTTAAGTATTTTTTAAAAAATATTTCTCATATGTTATTACAATAAAAATACTATAAATTAGCTTAAATCAAAGACCAACTTCTCCAGCTTGGTCCCCACAGAATTAAAAATTAATAAAGAAAGAGGAACTGGGGGTGGGGGGTTGTGTGTGAGAATTCCTTAAAAAGCTACTGTATTGAGTCTATTTCAACTAATTGTGACTCTATAGGACAAAATAGAACTGTCCCCATATGGTTTCCAACCATCAGCCTTTTGGTTAGCAGTCGAATTATTTAACCAGTGCATCACCAGAGTGCCTTAAGGAGGTTCTTTAAAACTGCCAAACTGCCAATCTGTTCCCCTTTCTTCAGCACGCTCATTTAAAAGGCCAAAAAAAAAATTGCAATGTGGATTATATTCAGTTTAAATCTTATAAGTATTAAGTCTAGTTGCCTAAAGTAAAACAATTTTTACAGTATAAATTGAACATGAAAAAGCAGAAATGTGTATGCAATTGACTGCTGTAAAAAAAATGGCCTAAATTATGACCAAACCTGTTCAAAATTATAATAATTTTTTTCTTGCAATGGAGCATGTTTCCTTTTATTCTGAATTTGGTTTACTTATTACTGCAATGCTATTATACCTATATTCTTTCCAGATTATGATAGCTTTTTCAAATGTCCTAAAGCACTTACATAATTCACCTGTAAACTGTCCTTGACTATTTGAGCCCATATATCCTATGTCAAGAAGGTCGCTGGCATTACGCTGGTGGCCTCCCCTCAGTACCTCGGCTTTCCTGGGTCCTGTGGATCCCTTTGAGGAAGCTGTTCCTGATGAGCTGTGACCGCCTGGAGATGGGAAACTGGGCTTGCTATAGGGCACCAAGGCCTCCTCTGAAAAAGACATACAAAGGACTCAGTTGAACAGCAACATGGGGCAAAACACAAACTCATTTTTTAAGCATTAAGCTCAGAATGGACCATTTCACAATTGTAAATATGAGGCTTAATATGATCCAGATATTAAAGGCATTTCCGTGTGTTTGCAATATGCCCTACAATAGGAATTGAAGTAGGATTAAATTAAAAGAGATCTTGGGATAAGTATACAATGTTCTGTATTATTTACAAAATTCAAATTCATTATAAAAGTGAACTTCCTATTATGAACCATAGTTTGTTTAACAAAAGCATATCTGAGAATAATTCTTAGAGTTCCGGTAGAGCTCTAATTTAATTTTCCCTTTACAATTGGAGAAACTTTGTTTTTGCTTTAGTTTAAATTATGTCAACATTTTCATTATCAGTTTAGATAAAGGACTATATACTATTAGTGAATTAAATGTGCCTCTCCAATTTCTATTATTTCTTGGAATAGAAAGACGATTTTTGAAGACTGTATTTACTTAAAAGAAAAAAAAGAAACTTTTTTGTAGCTTCTCTACAAATAACTCATGAAGTATACTACTTAATAATTACTTATTTGAAAAATTTTTTTTCTTTATCTGTTTTCCTCTTTCTCTGTGTATTTTTCTTTCTTTCTAGGAATGAGGTTAGAATTTCTGTAATTAGAGGACTAAAAAGTGCTGATGAATTTATTATTTCTCTCTTTAGGTTGTCTGTGTGACAGAGATCACCTAATTTTTCCTCATAGCCTGACTATGTTTACGAGTCTGTAAATAATGGTGTAAATTTTCTAAATGTTTTATTAACTCTAGATATAAAAATGGCCACTCTTGCAAAACTACATTTTCCTTGCAAAACTACATTTTTTAAAATAGTGTGCAACAAGTAAGGCAAAATATAATTATTGAAAATGCATGGGTAGAGTATTTATCTGGAAAGAATTGAATCCAAACAAATAAGTGAGTAAGGATATTCTTTCAAAAGTTTTTTTTTTTTTTTAATAGTTAATGAATCCTGGCATGTGAAGAGATGTTCCAAAACATGCATTTCTTTAATAGATTCACCATTCACTCCTCAGTAAAAAGTCCACCCATAAGCCATAACCTTTATTTTGTGACATTTCCAGGCAGCTTGATTTTATAAACCAGACATATTCCAATTGAAGTATTAACAAAAAAAAAAAAAAAAAATATATCAACTCATCGCCACTCACAGCGACCCTTCCTTGGGCTTCCAAGGCAGTATCTCTACAGAAGTAGATTGCCCAATCTTCCTTCCAAGGTGTGGCTGGTGGGTTTGAACCAACAGCCTTCTGGTTGGCAGTCAGATATCTTAGGGACCACACCACCAGAGCCTTCTAAGAAGTATTAACAAACAATTAAAATTAGTCAGCTGAAGAAGTACAGGTCCAGTTTAACCTTTTGTAACAGGAGGATTCTGTGAATGGGCATGAACTTGAAACTTTGTTATTTCATTTAATTCACCTATTTGACTGAAGTGAGTTCTTTCCAATGACTTGTTACTTTAGCTAAAATGAACAAACCAGTTGAAAACAGAGATTAAACTGACATTAAAGATGGCATTTAGTGGTATTAAAATTACTCAATATTAATATTAAAAGACAAAAAAAAAAATTTTCTCTTCAACATTATAGATGAAACTTGGAGGTCTCTTAGATTCAAAAGTCCTCTGAAGAGGTTAACTTGAGGTACAAGTGCCAATGAACTCAAGCTTAGGGCATATGGTGGTGAGCTCTGCTGAGGAATTCCAACTGTAGTTAGTGATTTAAGCCAAATGGATTTCAGACTCCCTTAACCAGCTGCCATTTCTAAAATACCTGGTAGGGGAAAAAAGGGGGGGGGCGCATAAAAGTCCATACTTTCTTGGGACTGGGCAGAACACACCTGATCCAACACCTTGTTTGTGTGAGGCTTTCCGTATATCTTCTTGGCGTTCTGTGGAGTTTATCCATTCCTGGGTTTGTCGCTGCCACTCTAGGGAGGTTCTAGCTGGACAATCCAGGGAGCTCTTTGTGTCTTCTAAGTTGGATTCATGTTGTCTCTCCAGAGAGCTTCCTTTTCTCTCTGTTGAGTTTTCCACGTTACCAGCATGGTGACTTGGGCCTATTTGCTGCCTTAAACCCTGACCTGGTGGGGGATCTGGTGGTGGTGGAAGATCTAAAAATTTTGAATAATGTTTAGAATGTACTAAAACTTAATGAAAAAGACAGATTTTATTTCACTTTGAAGAAAACCCTTGCCCTCATATAGGTACCACCCATGCAAAAGAAATTTGGGAACTCTAAAAGTCAGATATTTAGATCTAAGCTGCATATTATTGATCTCTTCGCTATCTTTTGATTATAGCATTTGAAATAAAATTAAAACTAGCTTCATCTAACTCTTACATGTGCAAGGTTGGTGTTTTCAGCTGCACATTGAGGCTAATGTGTAAAGGGAAGTTTACAGTTTTCCCACATTTAATCCACTGCCCACTTCCACCCCACCAAAGTAGAAATACCACTTCACAGAATAAGATAACTAGAAATTCTAGCAGCTGTGCTGATAAAAGGCCCTGGGAAGAACAAAAGCTTTCTTGCCAGTCTCCATAGGAAATGTCGCCCTCGGGAAATTAAGAACTATATGCCGTATCATATGCAGCATATGACGGCCTTTACCCATGTATGTGGCACAGTTAGCAACAGTCAAGGGGTTAAGCTAACATTTATTAAATGCAATTAACATTCTGCCTGACAACCAATTCTGGCTGTTCGTTTCATGAGTTAGCTAATGAGTTACAACTAATATATTATAGTCTTCCAATGTACTAATTTTAATAAGTAATAACCAATTTTCAGAGTACAGATTGAATCTGCTTCTGGTGCTAGAACAGACAATGCATCATGAAAATCTTAAATGTAGCGGAATAGATAATTTTTCAAAAGGACTTTTTAAATTAAATATCGTAGCTGCAAAAATTAAAATGTCAATAGTTTGCTAAGTTTTCATTTTCCTTTTATTAGCTCTTCAGATCATAATATCTCTACATATTGTGTATCTTTAATTATGAAATCATACTCCCTTCATTCACCTTTAAGTATTCTACTAGTTCTGAAAATTACTTTGTTGAAAATTGTCCTGTTTACTTTGAAATCTTCTAAAATTATTTTGGATCATTTCTCTTCCAAGTTTTCTTGCATGCTAGTATAGATTTCTTAGTTCATCCTTAAAGTATGGAAAATTATATTATTTTGTTTATAAATATAAGATATTATATAACACTTATTTCATTGAGAGTGGACACTGTATATAATAAGAAGTCCTGGTGGTACAATGGTTAAGCACTCAGCTGCTTACTGAAAGTTTGGGTATTTAAACCCACCCAGTGGCTCAAAAAGAGAAAGAACTGATGATCTGGTTCCATAAAAAGTACAGCCTAGGAAACCCTATGGGGCAGCTCTACTCAGTCCCATAGGGTTGCTATGTGTTTCAATCAACTCTACGACATATAACAACAACATTTTATATAATAGAGATAATTATTTCTCGTACTATTTTTACAAAGGTGTTCTCTTCTTTCTAATAATATTGTGTTCACGAAACTTAAAAGTATACATTTCTTATACACAAAAGATAACTTCTTTAAGGAAAATAAGCTGCTCTTTTCAAAGACTTTCTTTAGAAAGTCTAATTTACTCTGATTTATGAGTAAAAGGATACCGTCTCCCATTAAAGGAGCTGTGGTGACACAATGCCTAAAGCATTTTACTGCTAACCTGAAGGCTCGCAGTTCAAACCCACCAGCCACTAGGGTGGAAGAAAGATGGAGCAATCTACTTCCATAATGATTTATCACATTGAAAACCCGCTGGGGGTTGCTATGAGTCAAGATCAACTCGATGGAAGTGGGTTTGAGTTTTGGTCCTCTACTAAACTGAAAGTTATTGCTTCCTGAGTATTTGTTCTGAGAAGTCCCAACTTGGAGCAGTATTCCCAGTTCTTAAGTATGTTCTCTCATTAGATATAAATTACTAATTTTTTCAAGGAAACAGGGTCTCTCTCTGGGGGAAAAAAATGCATTTGTAACATATTTCTTCAAAATGAAGAGCTAATACTATATTGAGATATCTGTTGCTGAATAATCCACCAAAGAGTTTGGTGGTTTCTTTATATTCAATACTGACTTTCTGCAGGTTATGTTATTATAATTGCAAATTAAATATTTATTGGGTATTTGAGTCATTGGACTCAGACAGCCAGTGGAGGAAAATTATTGTATTTGTTTGTGAAATAACAAGTCATTGATTTTTGTTCTCTATCAGAGCAGCCTAATTTTAGAAATGACAAAATGGTATCTGCTTATGCCAGTGAAAATTCTGATTACAATTTAATTTAAACTGAAATTATATGGCCACATAATTATGTAATATCCTTGGAGTTTTGATATTCTAAAAAAGGACACTGCATACACATTGAAAGAAATGAATTGGAAAAAAAGAGATAGGATTAAGAATTGTTGTGGAAAAATAGAAGTATGTAATCAAATGCATTTACTTAAATTCATTATTCATTTCTATGCTGATTCATTTCAGCATAATCAATGCACTCAGGACTCTCTTACCAGCCTATTGAGGATTTACTGATGCAAGGCACACGGCAGTCAATTGTCCTCATTTTTCAGGTAGGAAATAGGAGGCATGAAGAGATTAAATATTTCCACCATAGATCTCTCCTCCCGTGAATTCCAGACTCTATAATCAAATCTACCTTAGAAAATTCCACTGAGATGTTTAGAAAATATCTCAAATTTCACATATCAAAACTGAGCTTAGGAACTTCCTCCAAAAATACTTTTCCTCTTTAGTGTTCATTTCAGTTAGTAGCAATTCCATAGTACAAGCTGGCTAAAAGTTTGTACTAATCATTGATTTATTAGCTTTAAGGCCTGAATCAACTTCATCAGAAAATTCTGTTAGCTCTAGATCAAAACTGTACCCAGACTCTAATCTTTTTCATCTCTTCCACTGAGTCTTCCTTGGTATGAGCCACATCACCTATTCCCTACATATTTTTACAATCTCCTAAAGAGCTCTGGTAGCATAATGTCTAAGGTATTTGACAGTTAACCAGAAAGCTGGTGGTTCAAACCCACCAGCCACTCCTTGGAAGGAAGTAGTGATACCCCCTCGGAAACCCACTGGAGGGGTCGCTATGAGTCGGGTACAACCTGAAGGCAGCGACTTTGGTTTTTGGTTAGCTGGTCTCTATGTTTCCATCCTTGGCCTTATTCAGTCTGTCTCAACACAATAGCTAGAATGATTATTTATTTGTTTATTTACTGTGTGTGTGTGTGGGGGGGTGAGTGTGTAGACTGATCATGTCAGTCCTTTGCCTTAACACACACACAAAACACAAATACACACACCACCATTGATTTCTCATTCAAAGTAAGAGCCAGTGTCTTTAGAGTAGCTCGTTGTTGTTGTTGTTGCTGTGTGCCGTCGAGTCGGACCCGACTCATAGCGACCCCTCCTTGGGTTGCCGAGGCAGTATCACTATGGAAGTAGATTGCCCCATCTTCCTTCCAAGGAGTGGCTGGTGGGTTTGAACCACCAGCCTTCTGGTTAGCACTCAAGTGCCTTAGGCACTATGCTACCAGAGCTCCTTTAGAGTAGCTTAGAGATCTTAAAATGGCCTTTGATTGCCTCTCTAACTTCATATTTTAGTATTTCCTTTCTTCTTCCTTCTGTTCAGTAATAGTGCTTCCATTGTATTTCATCAAGTACAGGCTTCCACTTGCTGTTCTCATTTCCTAGAATGACTTTTCCTCAGATGTCAGCATTACTATTTCCCTCATTTTCTTCCAGTCTTGTCTCTCAAATGTCACTTCTCCAAGGAGAATAATTCCTCTACCCCATACTGCTCAAATTTAGTATTAGGAATTAGAGTGGGTGGGTGGGCAGGCTGGAAGGAGATAATGTAAGGTAGAAATGTTAATGGGTTAAAAAACTATTCCCTCTGCTTTCCTTGTTCAGCATTGGTCAACGTATAGGCTCCAAAGGCTACTTTTTGGCTTAAGATGTAAAGAGAGCAGAAGAATTGGATTGATCAATGCCTGTTTAGGGAGACTTTACTTAAGGTCTTTTTGGTTTTTTGTTTTTTAATGCTCTTTGGGGCAGAGATTGATAATTCCCACTAATATAATTTCCTTTCATTGGATACAAGGGAAGATCCTTCCTGGATCTTCCATCCTGAATTTCCATCCTGGAAGTTCGCTTGACGTCATGTGACTGTATTCTTGTCAATAATATGAGCAGAGTGATGTGTTTCACTTGCAGGCCTGGTCATAAAAGCTCCAAGTGATCACCCATCTTCTCTTTTCCCCTCACTCAGAAACTAATGGTCTCCTGATCAAACAATAGTGTCCTGATATTGAAGATGCCCACATCCTTCTGTTGCTGCTTACAGGAGAGTCACCTGACCTTTACTGCACATGTGTCAATGAGAAATAAACTCTTACACTCTTACTATGCTGACCCACAGCGAATTAAGAGTTTTGCTTTTTTTTTTTTTTTTTAGTATAGTGACTGTGATGATTACCCTCATATGCAAATGTTATGGTATAAAGTGTCTTTACACTAAGTGCTGCTGAACAGCAACCTTCCCAAAAGACACACACACACACACAAACGTTTATGCAATTATTTCCAATGCATGGATCCATACTACATAAATACTATGGCATATACATTTGCTATTCAAGAACAATATCCTTAATGACAATCTGTAGAGTATCATCCAAAATAAATGCCCTTGTATCATATTTAAAATGTCTTTGGATTAAATACTTAGGAAGGCATATGAGCTGAAATTCCTTTTGTAATATCATAACTTCCACAGCATATTACTTGCTAACACATATCCTATAAGCCCTTTTTAGAATGCTGGCAAATTTTTAAATTAAGGTCTCCTTTTTTTAGAAAGACAGGTAATATATCAGTCATGCTTTAAAGGAGGTGGCTTGCCTTAACTAGACCTTCTGAAAAAGCTTTCAAGAAAAATATTCTAGGAAGAAATAAATGAAATTTCTATTCTGTTGATTTGTATTTTATATCTTTGACATATTCTGGATATAGTCTTCAAGCATCTCTTAAAAAATCACAGAAAAAACAAATATTCGATTTTTCTTTCTCTTTCCAAAACATTCAGAGTGGAGAAATTACATAAAATCATTAATTTTTTATTTGTAATGAACACATTGTTGTACCAGTCATTTTCTTTAGAGTGAGTAAGATCAATGCTACTTGTCACTTAATCGCTCAAATAATCTTCAGAACATTTCAGGTAGAAAGGTAGTTGTGAGCATTTCTATTCGTCACAAGTTATTTATAGTTAATCAAAAAACTGCACCCTCACCCAAATATTCCATTGAAACACTTTCCAATGGAAACAAAATAAGAAGGAAAGATAAATAAACATAAAAGCTGTAAAAAATAGTTATATTTGGCTTTTTCTTCTTGGCATGATAATATGACAAAAGCCAGCACATAAAAGGATACCAGACAGAGAGTGAAAAAAAGACTAAATGAAGAATAAACTTTCTTCTTTTCTAACTAAGTCTCATTTTGTCCTATATTGGTATGTCTCAGACAGAAATAAGTGCTCAGGACTGGAACTAGGGAAAATATAGCTTCAAGTATTTGCAATTAGATTTACTTGTGAAGCTTTGAAAAATACTCATAACTGGTTTGTACCCCAGAACAATTAAATCAGAATCTCCAGGGTATATTTTAAGAGCTCCCCCATTTATCTACATTTGTCACATTCGCCCTGTTGATATTTAATAGAACTAGCTCAGAATAAAGTTTGTCTGATTACCAGGGATAGTGCTCAGAAGGGGGGAGAAATTTAACTTTAGGCTGGACATTATACTAGATACTTTGTCTTACATATGCTTTAGAATAAAATTAAAGGATACATACTTTTGTTTATATTTTCACAATTGAGAAAATTAAATTGAATATATGGGAAATAGACCATGCTGGTTCATTATTGAACAAGACTGTTTTCTAATAATGTCATGTTCCCTGAAACTAGCAGTTTTCAAACACTCACTGATTAATACTATAAATAAATAAAGGGATTGGACTGGCAAACTACGGCCTATGGTCCAAATTCGACTGTTTTGTAAGTAAAGTCCTATTGGAAATCAGGCATTCCACATCCATTTGTTGATGTATTGTCTACAGGATCACTACAAAGTGGAGCAATTGTGAATGAGAGCCTGTGGACTGCAAAGCCAAAAATACTATCTGTATTTTACAGAAGAAGTTTCCTCATTCCTCAAATAGATGACCTTAGCATTGGTTTTAGCTTTGAAATTTATGAAACTAAAGCATTGCTAAATCACTTTAAGGTCTTTTCCAAAAGTGAAATTGTATCTAAGATATCTTAATTTAGTACAATAAATCTTTCAAAAAGATGACAAATGCACATGCTGCTTGTGTTTTCTTTCCATATCTCAAAGTGGAACACTTACTAAAAAAAACTGATGGAAAATGCCAGAATGGCCAACAAAATCAATGTTGAAAAATGGTGTGGCATGTATTTATTGGGTCTTGGGTGTGTAGGCATAACTTCAGAGTGCTAAATAAGAGGGTGTTTTATTGAAACAGGACCATATTGTCAGGTTCTTTTCTTTGCCTTGTTTTGTAATAAAGCAATGCCTAATCTACCATAGCTGCACTAATCTGAGTTAAATGATTGCACAGAGAACATCCCTTGAAAGTGAAGAGACAAGAGGGAAGGAGACAAACTTACCATCTGTCATTCCTTCCCTTCGATGAGGCAATGCTGGTTGTTGGTCCATTCGCCCTCCCTTGTGTTTTTTAGTGGGCCTAGGCCTCTGACTTTGATTCAGGGCTGCACTGGTGTTACTGTCTGTAGAAAATGGGCTGGTTGGTCGAGGTCTTTGAGAGGATGTAAATGCTTTGCCTAAAAAAAAAAAATTAAAAGAGGGGATGGGTTGATAGAGAACATTATTATAAAACATTGATTATGTTTTTCTTGTATTTCTATTTTTACTAAGACTGACAAATCTACCTGCCTGAATAACCTCTTGAAGATACCAATACTAGTACATCATTATAGAAGAAAACATGCTATTTTAATAAATAAACAACATCTCCATCAAAGAAACAAATACATGAAAAGCAAATCTACCAACAAAAACTTGATGTGTTTTAATATATTTTTATTTAACCTAGAAAAGCTTAGTGATGTATTCAGATATATGCAAGTATAAGAAGCTTTTATGTTTTAAAATTAAAGAAGCTATTTTTGAGATGAATTGTGTACTGTTTTATTTGTTTAAGCAAATTTCAACCTTGGAATCTGAAAATCTCTTTACATCTCTGAACACAGAAAAAAAAAAAAATCTCTGTAGTAATTACATTTGAAAGTTTACATAAATAGTCTGCTCAGACACATGCATTAAACTGACCTTACCGCCTACAAACAGACACGATGAATTCTACGTTTTTTGGCAGAAACTCAATAACATCAGTCTATAAGATAGACAGCTGATTAAAAATCACCTTGTATATACCAAGTGTAATAGCTGTTTTCTGATCCATATTGATGTATCTGAGCAGACTCCAAATTGTCATGAAATGTGTTATGGCCTTTTCTTTTGGTTCAGTGTACATATGCCAGGAAATTTATACTAGGAAAAGGTTAGGTAATAAATTTCAACAACTTTTTATTTTCATACCATGTATATTATTGTAAGAGAGGCTTGGTTTATGTGCATATATTTATTCTCTGGTGAATGTATTTATTTATACAAAATTATGGTGTATTATTAGCTAATAGGATACATGCAAGAAATGCACTTATGCCCTCTAATTTATTAGTTTCCTTGCACTTTCTTACTGCTTTGCTTATAGCTATGCAACAAAAAGCACTCAGGCAACATAAAGTTCCTGACTTATGGCTTATAAAGCAAGACAATTCAAATAACCATTATATTGCAACATAGTTTAGTTTGGATGCCATATGAAAAATAAACCTCTGCAATGCTTGGAAAATCTTTTTTTTTTTTTTTTAAATTTCCTTTGATGACACATAATGCATGCTAAAAAGAAATACTGATAGCATAATTCAAAAGAAATTTTCAAGACCTTTTTTTTTCCCTGAGAGTTTAGAGAAGGGTCAAAATCATTTTCTTTATTATTATTTCTTTTTACTCTTTTATTTGAGTACTCTTAAGCTTTCCAAACTGTACTTAATGTTTTGTCCTTTTTCTTAAGGTAGCTCAGTTTAATTCACATATTAGCACTTTCTTTTATGTGCATGTAAGTAAACTTACTCACATAACAGCATGAGGCATGCTAAAAAGTTATTTTGTTTCAATAAAATAAATGATTATATATTGCTGATTTATTATTAGAGCAAACCCCACATTTCTTTCTTAGGGAATGAGCAGACACACAAAAACTGACATAATTTGTCTTTTATATTATTACTTATTTCTCACAGAAACCAAAATTAGATTACTTCAAAGAGCAATACACACGTAGTCATTTTGTTCAACTTGCACATGCAGTGGGTGTATTTTTAATTAGCATCCTTTCAAACAAATAATAAATTATTGGATTAAAATCATAACAGTTAAACAATTAATAAGACCATCAGCCATATGAACTGTTAGACTGACAGCCTTAGGCCCATTCACCCCATGCTGAGAAAGCGTTCCCAGAAAGTACATTTGCAGAAAGAGATGGGACAAAGGAAAATAATGGAGATAACAGCTGAATAATTTTAATCACTGGATATATTATTGATTGTGTGAGAGTTTTGCAAAGTGTGAGTAATTGAAAATTGAATGGCAAACTTAGTTGCTGCTTTGCTATAATATAAAAAGGAAACATTCCAATTACTCAGGAGAACCCTGAAGAAACGGGAAATAAGGGGTGGAAGGTGTTAAGAAGAGCCTATTCCTGGCTATGTAAAACTAGCATCAGAAAAGAGTTCTGTTAACTGAGCATCCAACTTGTGTTCATGCATGTGAAAGTAAGCCCTGCAGTCCGACTCACTGAGGAGAAAGAACAGAAGAAAAGTAGCTCAGTGTCCAAAGAAGATTCTCTCATGCAAAAAGTGTTGACTTGGAGTCTACCAACCTGTTCTTGTAAGGCTGGTTCCATCCAGCCTAAAACCAGCTTTATCTGCTGCTGCCATCAGAGCTTGTGCAAAACTGCCGCTGGCAAAGATGGAGCCTTCTGAGGAGCTACCTACACTAGATCTATGACTAGAAAAGTTACGATCCTCATCAGATGCAGAGCCCCATCCATTTACCATTGAACCTAGAAACAAATGTAGTTGTCTAGTGAGTTGTACATATTGGATATCTTATCTGCTTGTACACACTATACTAATGAGCAAGTAGCCACAACTCCTCATTTCTTCCTTGAGGGAAACCTAGTTTCATCATGATTTCCTTAGCCATACGCAAGCATCATTCATATTTTGAACATCTTAGTGCAGAAAAGTGAGATGCATTTAAAACCTGTATCTATTTGTAGCACATAAAGAAAAAATGTTCCCTATGGTTAACTTTTTACATTTTAAAAATTATTACATGGCTATTTTCTGGAAAAAAGAATTGCTGTGTACATTGTAAGTTCCTACAAGTCAGAGAGAAAAACTCTTTTCTTGAAACAAATTATAATGTATTTAAAGTAAACCTGTCAAGAATTCAGTTAAAGAAATAGTGTGAATATATTATTAATTGAATGCACTCCAATCTTAACCTGCATGAAACCTACATTTGTATATTCTACAAGGGCTGGAAATCACAATTTTAAAAACAAAAGCTTAATTATTCATGAAATAACAGTGAAAAATCATAAACAAAAAACAATGTAGAAATAATACCAAAACAAATCAGACAACATAAGAAAAAATGACTCTTCAAAAATTCTATTAATTTCAAAGGCCATTATGTATTTTATTTTTTCCCTTGCCTTTTATTAGTTTACAAATGACAGTTTTTTTTACTAGTACTCTTTATTATGTATTATGAAGAATATCACCAGTATTAATATGGATTTTTTGGCAACATACAACAGGACAACAGGGAGAAAAAAATTGCAGCTTTATGTATAAAGAGCTGTAAAACATGAAGATATTGAGAAATAAATTTTATTCTTGAATTTATGGCAAGTCATTTGCAATGATATACTTTTTCCAAGACAAATGCACAGTAGGAATTTAACCTATTACTAAATAAAATCAGTATTTCAATATTTAAGTTTATATATTATTAATTCATGGCATAATAGAGAAATAAGTCTTGCCATCCTTTTTTTTTTTTTTTTTCAAGGAAGAAGGAAACAGTATTTCTGAAAAAGTTAATTCAAGATTTATAAATAAAGTAAACAAATATTCAGATGGGCTTAAATTCAAGTGCTATAGATTGTTTCCCTTCTTCTTCAATATTAAGAGACAATGGTATATTTAGGAGTTTTGCTGTGGTACAGTATTTGTAATTTTAGTCAAGGTGCCAGGATACAACAACACGGGTTCATGCACTTTCAAGACAGAGGAAACAGAAACCAAAGGGGTTAGAAGGATCTAAGAAGTTAAAAGGGTGTTAAGTGTAGCAGAGAAAGATAGAGTTTTGATTCTATTTGCCAAAAGCACAGAGATACACTTTTTACTTTCCAAACAAATTCCCTCGACACAGACCACTGCAAGGAAGCCAAGATAACACCAGCAACTGAGCCTTCTCTGAGAGAACCATTTCTGAGTTAATAATCACAAGTCAAGGACCAACAGCCCAAAATGAAAGGAGAAATGATGCAATAGGCTTTGCAATATAATGCTACAGTCGATAAGAAAAAATCAAAATGATGCAGTGAGCAGTCACAAAAGAATATGAAACACTAGAACTGAGAACAGTTTTGAAGTTATTTGAAAGTTCGATCCCAAACTTCCACAGACTGTCTTCTGTATTTCCAAATGTCTGCTAAACTTCTGCAAATAAATTCTCATCAGCTATCTCAAAGCCTTATTCTCATCTCCGTCTCCATTCCTTAACTCCTCCTCATTGATGTCCCTTTAGTCCCTCCTAGTGCCTAAGGCACTTGACTGCTAACCACAAGGCTGGCGGTTCAAACCCACCAGCCACTCCTTGGAAGAAAGATGGGGCAATCTACTTCCGTAGTGATACTGCCTCAGACACCCAAGGAGGGGTCGCTATGAGTCAGGTCCGACACGACGGCACATAACAACAACAACAACAACATCTTCCTAAATGTCATCTAAATTATCTTTCTGAAATACCTATCATATAATTTTGTTTCTCACCTTACCTACTTCTTCAAACTGAGAATTAGGTTTTCAGATCCTTCAGTATCTTTCCTTACACAGACCTACCTTTTTAGCCCTAACCTTCTTACAGCACGAGCAGCACCCTTACCTGACTGGGACAATATCATCTCCTGCTCTTTGGACAAATCTCTGAATTGTTACACCTCTATTGACCATTGCAAACTTTAAAGTCCAAACTAAATACCATCTTCTTTACCATCTTGACCTAACTCCTCATCTCCACACCTGTCATTAGAAGATTTAATTCCTCTATCTTCTGTGCTTCACAAACACTTTATTCATACACGTAGCATAACAGGTCTCTCCCTAACTACAGTTTGTTTATATATATATATTTGTTGTTGTTATGTGTTGTAGAGTCAGATCAGACTCATAGACCCCTCCCTTTGGTTTCATAGACCCCTCCCTTTGGTTTCTGAGGCAGTGTCACTACCGAAGTAGATTGCCCAACCTTTCTTCTGAGGAGTGGCTGGTGGGTTAGAACCACCAGCCTTCTGGTTAACAGGCAAGTACCTTAGGCACTGCACTACCAGAGCTCTCTCTATATATCTTTCTCTTTGTG